CGTCCCCGAAGCCTTGCCTCCCGTCCTACGCCCGCCTCCCCGCCACCTTCTCTCCACACCCCAACCCGCTTTTGCAATAACCCTCAAGTCATCCCTGTCGCGCGAACTCCCGAATTAACTGCCTCACAGGCCCGCCTAGTTCTCTCGCAATGAGGGCGCCCCTGAGACACGCCTCTGTCCCGGGGCCCAGGCAGAGCCAAAGCCTCCCCCATTTTCCGCTGGTTGTCTGCGATCAGCCTCACCACGCGCTCTCTCCCGGCGCCCCGTGCTCACCTGGGCGGCGGCGGTCACGCCGGATAACTGACAGGCCCGCAGCATCTCGGCACGATGGACGGCGCTACCAGCGTACGCGGGAACAGCCGCGGCGCGCGACTAGGGGAGGGAGTGCGTTGCGTGCGTGCCTGCGTCCGTGCCGCCTTTCCGCGCCGGGCGTACCGGAAGAGCAGCCAACGCCACTGCGCACGCGCAGCCTTCTCTCTCGCCCTCCGCAGGCAGTTTGGACAGGGTGGGGCCTCCCCGGCGGAAAGGACGATTTCTCCTTCCGGGTCGCTCGGGGTTCCTGGCTGTAACCCAAAGTCGGGGTTACTAGGTGAACGGGAGGGGAGGGAGGGCGTGTGATACTCGGGCTTCGATCCGCGCGGAAAACGGATTGGTGTGACTGTTTGGAGAATGCGTGCAAGAAAGCGTCTCAGCCGTCACTGGCAGCTGGAAATTTCGTAGAAGGGAATCGATTTGGCCAGAGTTACGTGAACAATGGTGGTGTCTGGGTTTGCCGTTTGTTTCGTTTGACGGCACTTCTTAAGGGAGTCACCCACTTTTCGGGAGACTGGGTGAACGAACACAGGAGAGACCTTAGTGCGGAGTGTGTCATTCACGTATCTAGTAAATGGCTGAACGGGGATAGGAACCTAGACTCTTGGGGTTCCACAGCTTTTACTCCTTTCAAATTAAACCAGACTACTTCCTCCAGCAATTTTTTATTTTAGAATGATGATTTTGGCTTTAGTCTGTGGGATGGGTTGGAAGATAAGGAGGTCAGTGCAAAAGCACTGTTCAAATTATTCCACTGAGTCTATGATTAAGGTATCACATGTTAAATATTAAACACAGTATTCAATACTATTAGTATTACTAATGATCATCATCAAAATATCATAGAAACTAAGTGACTTGTATATCTATTGTGTTTGCAAAGTCCTTTCAAGTCTTAACTAGGTTATGTATTACAGTATGGTGTTCTCCTTAGAGGTAGACAACGCTACTGATCCCATTTGTAAAATGGAGAAATATATTTGAAAGTTATCTAAAATCAAATAATTCCTTATGTTTGTATATGTTCAATGCTTTTTAGGGTACTTTAGTAATTACATTATACTCTCTAATTCATATCGCCATGGCCTAATAGCCTCCAGAGCGGTTTCCGTCTTTTTTAGTAATTTTAGCAATTGCATTGTCATCTCCCCACTCCATCCCCGTCCACTGCTGTCATGCTGAGTCATGCCAGGGTGATGACTTTTCTGATAACTTGGCCATAAACCTCTCGATGCTGCTGTGCAATTTCAGTCTGCTCCAGCCATGTATGGCACAGCCACACCTTGCACATCATTAGCAACTTCTCCGGCTTCAAGATCTCAAACTCCAAAATTAATTTCTATAGTTTCGTAACCTCTCATTTAACCAAGTCCTAAATCCTCATCCTCCACGTGCAATTTATGAAAATTTTTTTGCTTTAAAATGAACTCTCCTAAAGTAACTCAGAAATTGAAGGCACTCCCCTGTTCAAAAATGTGCAGTGACTCCCACTGCCAATTCAAAGAGCCTTCATAAAATGTCTCAGTACTTTTGCAGCATATGTGGATGTTTAAGGCCCAAAGTGGGGGCTGGCCTGGTGGCGCACACTCTGCTGCGGTGGCCCGGTTCGTGGGTTCGGATCCTGGGTGCACACCGACGCACTGCTTGTCAAGCCATGCTATGGCGGCGTCCCATATAAAGTGCAGGAAGATGGGCATGGATGTTAGCCCAGGGCTAGTCTTCCTCAGCAAAAAGAGGAGGATTGGCAGATGTTAGCTCAGGGCCGGTCTTCCTCACAAAAAAAAAAGGGCCGGCCCCATGGCTTAGTGGTTAAGTGCTTGTGCCCTGCTATTGGGGGCCTGGGTTCGGATCCCGGGCACGCACCGACACACTGCTTCGCCGGCCTATGGCCGCGTCCCACATACAGCAACTAGAAGGATGTGCAGCTATGACATACAACTATCTACTGGGGCTTTGGGGGAAAAATAAATCAAATTATTAAAAAAAATAAAAAAGGCCCAAAGTGGCCACACTAGGTGGGAGAGCAAGATAGCAACAATAGCATCCAAGCTTATCACCTGCTTGTATACACTATAATCCAGAGAAATAAAAGATAACCATCTCAGTGGTTCCCAAAGTGTGATCTGGGACTCTCTGGTGAACCTGAAACACTTTCAGAGGGTCCATAAAATCAAAACAATCTTCATAATATTAAGATATTATTTGCTGTTTTCACTCATTATCTCATAATTGTACAGTAGAGTTTTTCCAGAGGCTACATGACAAGTGATATTGCAACAGATTGAATGCATGAGTGAACTTCAGAATCCAGCGTTCTATTTTTTTTTTTTTTGTGAGGAAGATCGGCCCTGAGCTAACATCTGCCAATCCTCCTCTTTATTGCTGAGGAAGACTGGGCCTGGGCTAACATCCATGCCCATCGTCCTCCACTTTATATGGCAGCCGCCACAGCATGGCTTGCCAAGCCGTGCGTTGGATGCACGCCCGGGATCTGAACCGACGAACCCCCGGCCGCCGCAGCGGAGCGCGCGCACTTAACCGCTTGCGCCACCAGGCCAGCCCCTGGCTTTCTATTAAACCAGACCTTAAAGAGATTTGCTAAAAGGTTAAACAATAGACTCTTCTCACTGATTTTTTTTTAACTGAGAATAGTTATTTTTCATAAAAATATTTATGTTAACATGTAATAGGTTTATAATTGTTTTTAAATGAATTAAGTGCTGTAGGCAGAATAGTTATCAGCAAATATGTCCACATTCTCCTAATGCTTGGAACCTGTGAATATGTTACCTTACGTGACAAAAAAAACTTTGCAGATGTGAGTAAATTAAGAATCTTGAGGGCCGGCCCCGTGGCTTAGCAGTTAAGCGTGTGTGCTCCGCTGCTGGCGGCCAGGGTTCGGATCCCGCGCGCACCGACGCACCGCTTCTCCAGCCATGCTGAGGCTGCGGCCCACATACAGCAACTAGAAGGTTGTGCAACTATGACATACAACTATCTACTGGGGCTTTGGGGGGAAAAAATAAATAGATAAAATCTTTAAAAAAAAAAAAAAAGAATTTTGAGGGCCGGCCACATGGCAAAACGGTTAAGTGCGAGCGCTCTGCTGCTGGCAGCCGGGGTTCAGATCCCGGGCGCGCACCGAAGCTCCGCTTGTCAGGCCATGCTGTGGTGGCGTCCCATATAAGGTGGAGGAAGATGGGCACAGATGTTAGCGAAAAGAGGAGGATTGGTATGGGTGTTAGCTCAGGGCTGATCTTCCTCACAAAAAAAAAAAAGAATCTTGATATGGGGAGACTATCCTAGATTATCTGTGTGGGCATAAGGGTCTTTATGAGTGAAAGGGGAAGGCAGGAGGGTCAAAGTTAGAAAAGGAGATGTGACAATGGAAGCAGTCATCAGAGTGATGTGATTACTGGCTTTGAAGGTGGAAGGAGGCCACAAGCCAAGGAAAGCAGGCAGCCTCTAGAAGCTAGGAAAAGCAGGGAAACAGATTCTCCCTAGAGCCTCCTGAAGTAACACAGCCCTGGACCTTGATTTTAGCCTTATGAAACCCATTTTGGACTTCAGACCTACATAACTGTAAGATAATAAAATTGTGTTGTTTTAAGCCACTAAATTTGTGGTAATTTGTTATAGCAGCAATAGGAGACCAATACGATAAGTATTTTACATTTTTCTCCGTTTTAATTTCCAATACAGTAAATAATAATAGGTATAATACATAATTAAAAGTTCCTTGGGGTCCTCAATTTTTAAGCATGTAAAGAGGTTCTAAGACCAAAACGGTTAAGAACCACTGCCCTAAATAAATCCTGCGTCCTTCTGTTTTGGTTCCCTCTCTCCTCACCTTAGCTCTTGGTGTTCTTACTGCCAAGACTGACCTTGTCCTTGTTAAAATCATCCCCATTCTTTAAGACCCATTTTATATTCTACCTCCTCATCCCTGATCACTCCAATCAGAAGCCTTCTCTCCTTAACTTGAACTGCCCCTATTAGTTATTTATCTTCCTTGTATTCATGTTCTGTACTTGTCTCCATATTAAAAGTGAACTCCTTAAGATCCAGTGTTCAACCCTTACCCATTTCAACCAGTAAATAGTGTTTATAGTAAATGCATGAAAAATCTTAGGGGACAAGGATGGGAGAGAGATTTGTTGGTTTTTTTCCTGCTTGAACATTAGAAAAAAAATGTATGATCACTAATTCTCAGGAATAAAATAAGGAACATAGAATTGTTCAGGAAGAGTTGAGATGCTGTTCTACAAATGGCAATCAGTGTTACTGCGTAGAAAAATGTGTGTGTGCGCGATATCCTTAGGATATTTACATTCATTTGATTATAGTGGCATTCAATTTTTTTAAAAAATTACTTTTAATAACATTGCTATTTCCCATTCATTTAGCCTAACATCTACCAGCTTTGGAAGGATAATAAGTTTTATTCTCTCAAATAATAAAATGAGCAAAAAGAATTGTTTGAAGTATGTTGTGTACTTTAAATGTATTTTTCAATCAAATGCTCAATAAAAATTTGAGAGCCTACTATATGCCAGGCACTATTCTATAGGCTCTTGTTTTACAGCTTGTGAAGGACAGCCTGGCATAGAGAAGACATTCAATAAAGGTCAACTTGACCGTTCCTTTATTCATTTTTTTCCCCCTGCCTCCACGCCCTCCGAATTCCTTTCCCTAATTCCCTTTTGCCGTGAAGCTGTTAGACCCAATGCGGCTGCCGTAGGGCGGGGTAGCAAGATGGCGGCCTCTGCCTTTGCCGGTACGGTGAGAGCAGCATCAGGTCAGTGGAAAGCGGCGTGCTCGATTTATGCCTTCACAGAACGGGGAGCTGGCGCAGGATACAGTGGGCGGTCAGCGTGGAGGTTATCGGGGGAAAAAAAGGGGGGGGTCGTTATTTGAGGTCAGAGGGTTGTTCCAAAATTTCTCCAGGGCGGCCTATATTCGGCCTCCCGCACCAGAGATCCCGAGACACGCGGAGCTGAGTGTCCCGTGTTTTCCGCTTCCTTACCGGCTCCCGGCCATCCCGCCTTCCCTAGAAAACAAACCAGAAGAATTGGGGCAGAGGGGCCGAGGAGACAGAAAAGTCCCACCTAACTCTCTGATTTAGAGGCTACGACCCGCCACTTTGACCTTGAAAAAGTTACTTAATTTCTCTGAATTTCAGATTCTACAACGCTAAAATAGGGATCATACCATCCACCTGAGGACTCAATGAGCTCGTGCACATTTAGCGCCTTGCGTAGTGCCTGGCATATTCTAATAAGTGTGTATGTACGAGATTCACAAAAAGTGCGGGGAATGTGGCTGTTTTATTCGCTCAGTCCCCTGTAGACATCAGGATTTTTTGACGGAGAGAGATTACAGGAGTGAAGGTAGCTAAATTAAGTTGCCTTCACCCTAAGGACTTTTGCAAAAAGTTCAAAATCGTTCCAATATGATAAGATTATCAGTAAATTACTTTCACACAAAATAGGGTAAAATTCTGTGGAAGAATAGAAGAAGAAAAAAGCTACAATGTAAATTTTCCATCTGTTACAGAAGAACTTGTTTATGTGGGGTATTTTTAAATTGTGAAGTGTAACATTTAAAGAAAAAATTATATAACATATGAGTGGCTTAACAAATAACTTGGAAGCAAACATCTGTATAACTAACACCCAGGTCAGAATGTAGAACACTACCAGGATCCTCTTCTTCACCCGTGTGCCTCCCCAGTCAAAATTCCCTATTTCTGCCAAATATAAGCACTATCTTTGTTTTATTATTACCTTGTCTTTTTTCCTGTAACGGTTTTAACATGTGTGTGTGCATCTCTGCATAACATATTGTTTAGCTCTGCCTGTTATGTACTATACATGAATGGAATCACACAGTATGTACTCTTGTGTCTTCTTTTACTTTGTGAAATTCATTCATTTTGCATGTAGCTGTAGTGTTTTCTGATAGCTATTTAATATTCTGTTACTACCCCACAATTCTCCAGTTTACTGTTGATGGGCATTTGGATGTTTCCAGTTTGGGGCGATTAGATACAAAGCTGTTTGACCTTGTGTCCTGGTAGTTTCTGAGTGCAAGAGTTTCTCTAAGGGGTGTATGTATACATATAAAACTAGCTGTGGAATTGCTGAATCAGAGTATGTATATATTCAGTGTGGCCTGATATTGCCCAAGTGATGTGCTGATTTAAAGTCACCCCAGCACTGTATGCTCCACACCCTCACCAACAGTTGGTATTGGTAGACCTACACATTTTTGTCAATCTAGTGGGTATTTAGTGGTGTCTCATTGTGGTTTAAATAGCATTTCCCTGATTAGTAATGAGTCAGAATACCTTTACACATGTGTATTGGCCATTTGAATTTCTTTTATGAAAGATCCACTTAAATATTTTGCCCATTTTTCTATTGAGTTCTTTGTCTTATTGATTTATAGTAGTTCTTATATGTGTCCTTTCTCATATAAGTGTGTTTCCAATATCTTCTCCCACTCTGGCTTGCCTTCTTGGTTTATTTAAAGTATCTTTTGATGAAAAGAAGTTCTTATTTTCCTCAACTTGAATTTATTGTCCTTGTCTTTTTTTTTTTTTTTTT